GGCATTCCGCCATCATGCCGGCCGGAGTGTTTGATTAACCCTGACTGCCCGCCGGAAAAATCTTGTATAAATATGAAATGTAAAGATCCCTGCCCAGGATCCTGCGGGGACAATGCTGAGTGCAAAGTAGTGAATCACGCAGTGACCTGTTCGTGTAAAATTGGATATATTGGCAATCCGTTTGTGCAATGCGTGCTAGAAGGTACGTTATTCGCTTATTCTGATTTTTATATCGAGTATAAAGGAGCAATCATTTTTTTAAATATCTTTTATCAACGCTTTTCATAAATTTAAATATTTATTTCTTTCTGCACGAAATTATTCTCGTATTTTTACTGTTATTTTATTTTGCAACATTAAATTTTATCAACGCAAAGCACTTTAGTGCATTAAAATCATTGCGTTATTAGTTATTTAATTACTTAGCAATTTTCTAATTTCTTAGAGGAAACGATGAATCCATGCGAGCCTTCGCCATGCGGAGCCAACGCGATCTGTCAGCAACGAGATAACGCGGGCGCTTGCATATGTATCGACGATTATTCCGGAAATCCTTACGAGGGCTGTCAACCAGAATGTGTTCTGAGCGCGGATTGTCCCACGAATAAGGCTTGCATTCGTAATAAGTGCAACGATCCTTGTCCAGGCGTATGTGGCGTACGGGCACAGTGTTCGGTCATCAATCACATTCCCACGTGTACTTGCGAGCCTGGATATATCGGCGATCCGTTTACGATATGCACACTTCAACCAGAAATTGATACGGAGCCCACCATCAGGGATCCGTGTTCCCCGACACCCTGCGGACCGAACAGCTTGTGCCGTGCGGTAAACAACCAAGCCGTCTGCACGTGTCAAGAGTCTTTCGTAGGCGTTCCGCCGAATTGCAAACCAGAATGCGTCGTCAATTCTGAATGTCCGCAGAACAGAGCGTGCTACAAATATAAGTGCACAGATCCGTGCCCTGGTACTTGCGGAATCGAAGCCAATTGTCGTGTTATTAATCACAATCCGCTCTGCAGTTGTCCGCAGGGAAAGACGGGCGATCCTTTCTTCAGATGTTTCCCCGAACCCGGTAATTATCGATACTTTTAATTAATAACAATTACACTAGTTCTGCTTTTTTTATATATTTATAATTATGTTATTTATTTAATATTATTTTTTACATAGTTGTGCCGCTACCACCGATGGATCCTTGTTTCCCCAGTCCATGTGGACTTTATGCGGAGTGTAAAGTTGTTAACGGTCAAGCCGCGTGCACCTGCTTGAAAAATTACATTGGGATACCACCCAATTGCCGCGCGGAATGCGTAGTTAATACAGATTGTCCGTTAGATCAAGCGTGCATCTCAGAAAAATGTCGCGATCCTTGCATCGGCTCTTGCGGTCAGAATGCTGATTGTCGAGTTCAAAATCATATACCGGTTTGCTTGTGTCAACCTGGCTATTCTGGCGATCCCTTCACTTTGTGCACAGTAATTAAAGGTGTGTATATTTTCATATTATATAAATTTTTAAAAATAGTTTTATTATTATATAGTATGTATTATTAAAGATAATTGATTTTTTCATAAAAAATATTTAAACATAGATAACTTACGTAAAAAGAAATATATTTATATGTATACGATTTTTCTTTACGATATATAAACATAAAGAATTAATGTGTTGCAGAACAACCAAAGGTTCCGCAAGATTTGTGTAATCCTTCACCTTGTGGACCTAATGCGGCATGCAATGAAGGTGTATGCACCTGTTTGCCCAACTATTTCGGAGATGCATATTCTTATTGTCGACCGGAATGCACAATGAATTCTGATTGTCCTCGGATCAAAACGTGTATCAATCAAAATTGCGTCGATCCTTGTCCAGGCACATGCGGTCGTGATGCACGTTGCGACGTTGTTAATCACATCCCAATGTGCAGTTGTCCACCTGGTTTTACCGGAAATCCGTTCCTTTTATGCCAGTCACATATACCGGATGGTAAGTTTAGAAATATATATTTTTGTTTTACTTATTTTTTATCATTTTTTAAAATTATATTTCAAACGCGGAAATAAGATTCGCGTCAAACTCTACTTGTTCATGTTTCGAATCGATTATTATTGATAAACATTGGTCACATATATTTGCAGATGTCATTAAACAGCCTTGCACACCTTCGCCTTGTGGACCAAACAGCATCTGTAAAGTTGTAAATGATCATGCTGTCTGTTCTTGCCAACCTGGTTTAATTGGCAATCCACCCGCCTGTAAACCAGAATGCATTGTCAGCGCCGACTGTCCATTGACACAGGCGTGTCTGAATAATAAATGCCAAGATCCGTGCCCAGGCACATGCGGACAGAATACAAATTGTCAAGTGGTTAATCATAATCCAATATGCAGTTGCTCTGGATCTTACACGGGCGATCCTTTCACCATATGTTATCCGCAACCAAGTAAGTAGTTTAAATTTCTTTTTATCACAACCTTAATATAAATTTAATATCTTGTTGAGTTTATTAATTATATTTTTTTATTGAAAAATAAAAGAGCAAAAAATTGTACTACACATACATTCTACATGTATATATATAAAATAACCGACATATTTATTCTAATTGCTAAATATTTTTTATTAGCTAAGAAACTTTATATTTTTAAGTAATATTAGTAATGCAAATTACATTGGAAAAGAATCCACATTTTTATTGCTCGGGTATTAGTTCTTATTTTTTGACATGTACATGACAATTATTCTTTTGGATAATCATCAAATTTCGGTCGTTCTAATACTTAAATGCAAAATCGATTTTTGATTTAAATACTCGCTTGCAGAAACACCACCTGCACCGACAAACCCGTGTCTACCATCGCCCTGCGGTCCAAATGCGGACTGTCAAGTGAGGGGCGAGAGTCCCGCGTGCTCTTGTATCCAAAATTACATTGGTTTGCCACCGAATTGTAGGCCGGAGTGTACTATCAATCCTGAGTGTCCACCGCAATTGGCGTGTTTGCAACAAAAGTGTCGCGATCCGTGTGTCGGTCTGTGCGGTCTAAACGCTCAGTGCTCGGTTGTGAATCACCATGCTGTTTGTGCGTGCATCGCCGGATACACCGGAAATCCATTCAGCGCTTGCGAACCAGTACCCGAGGGTGAGTACGCGCCGTTGTATCTTTTATCCTTGTTTACAATCCTTCCCGCAAATGTCGCCGTTTGCATGTGGGCGTACCAGGTAAGTGCTTCTGATCCTAATATGACTAATGGTAATAAAAAATCAAAACGCGGTAACTCAAGAATTTTCTGTCAACCTAGTTATTCAATATTTTTTGTCAGTGGTTGAAGATGTAATGTGTTAAATTATTGAGAGATTTTCCAATATGCTATATGTTAAATATGATTTATAAAATATTTCGAAGAATACTTGACAAAGATTAGATAAAGCTTTAAAAATATTATTTGATATAAGTACTACCGTCCTGTCCCATTATTATTATTAGACACTTACGTGCTTACATAGTTCTAGAAGCGCATTAGATCAAAACGTGTTTTAACAAAAATTATCGTATAAGATCAACGCGAGAATATGCGTGCGACAGCAGCACAGTCGCAAAATTACTTAACAAGAAGAAGACAATAAGTCACGTGTGTGAGGTGGTGGGGCCTATAGACATATATTAGGCTCTTAATTGCACTCATCCTTGATTAAAAATCAATAACATAGAACGCGTGTATACGTGTCCCGAGTCCCTGCGATTAATAGGAAAAACAATGCGGCACGCACTCATCCCCATGCCTGAGCGTACTGACCCAAAACCTAATGCAGGACAGCAATAACGATAAATACATAATTATGAAAAATGGTGGTGGGGCCTATATATTCATATGGGCTCTTGACTGCACTCATTCCTAATAGACACTAAAAAAAGCGATAGAATATCACAATCCCTGCGATTAATTATTGAAATGTTTACTGCACGCACACTGACCTGTGTCAAAGCGAATTAAAGACCCACTCACATATACGAGCACTTTGACCCTTGACATATGCTGTGGATCTCCCAAGAATCATGCCGCACATATCATTCCCGAGAAAATAAAAAAATGCTATTATAAAAAACGCAATTTCCTAACCAGAAAAATAATTTAACAAACTTGATACAAAAGAGTATCGCCCAAGAATCTATCCCGTCCCTAAAAAAAATAATACAATAAGTTGCCACAGATTTTAACACAGTTTTATGACCAACCATTATGTCCCGCACCTGTAATTAACTCGATTAATTGATGCAATTAAAAATCGAACACAATACTGACGAAATACGTTACCTACTAAAACCGATAGATATAAAATATTTGTCGACAATGATAACTAATATTAAAACCACGCAAAGCTATATTACGTCGCACTACTATACGAAGCTTATTGCTTATTAGGAATTCGATTTAATTGAAAGAACGAAACGTGAATATGAAAGCGAGAGAAAAAGAGAGAGAGAAAGAAGACGAAAGCCAAAGAAACCCTTACCTCAACACCAGCTTTGAAATAGAATGCGTTGCATGTTTTTATTTAAATTTAAGTGAAATTTCTTGTCTTTCTCTATCAGATACACCCCTAGATATTAGAAAACCATGCGAGCCTTCTCCTTGTGGTTTCAATGCCATCTGCCGCGAAAACAATGGCGTTGGCTCGTGCACCTGTCTACCGGATTATCTAGGTGATCCTTACGAAGGATGCAGGCCCGAATGCACGCAAAATTCTGATTGTCCGACAAGAATGGCGTGCGTGGGCTTGAAATGCAGAGACCCTTGCCCAGGAACTTGCGGAGTGAATGCCCAATGCCAATCAATTAATCATCTGCCAATCTGTACTTGCATTCCCGGCTATACAGGCAATCCGTTCATGCACTGTTCCCCAATAATTGAAGATTGTAAGCTTTATTTCCATATCAGATATTTCATTGTAAAAGTTTTGTTTTTTCCAAGTAGTAGCCATAGATTGTTTGTGCATAATGTAAAGTTATATTGGAAACATTTAAATCAATTATGGTTTCAAACTTTAATTGAAAAAAATTTTTTATTTGTGTGTTAAATTACATAACACAATTTTATATTAAAATTTTGCTATACTTATTTCTTATGTAAAATAAGAAATAATTTTAAATATATATTTATTATTTAATATAAGTCAGAATTTTTATTGTGATTATAGAAAGTCATTCATTTTCTTTCTATTCATAATTTCTGATTTATATTAAATATTATAGTAAACATTAATATCTCTAAATATAATTATTTTAATTGAAGCCATATTTTACATGAATGAAATATTGATATCTAAAATAGTCTATAGAAAATAACTTGTGCGTGTACACTTTTCTCCATGCAGCCTTGCCAGAAACAAATCCGTGCAGCCCATCTCCTTGTGGACCAAATAGTAAGTGTCAAGATGTAAACGGCCTTGCCGTTTGCTCTTGTCTTCCGAATTTTATCAACAGTCCCCCCAACTGTCGTGCCGAATGCGTGGTAAACAGTCAATGCTCTCCGGATCTTGCTTGCGTCAATCAGAAATGTACATCGCCCTGTCCGGACCCATGTGGAATAAATACCCAGTGCAAAGTGATCAATCACAGCCCCATCTGCGTCTGCAACCTCGGTTATACCGGGGATCCTTTTTTGAGATGTTTCCCCGCCCCACGTAAGAGAATTTTGCTTCTTTCATCAGCTTCACTTATTCATATCATGAATCATGGTCATCCTTAATCTTTCACAAATAACTCAATCATGGCTTTAAAAAATTGATTGATGTTATTAAAATCGTTATTTCTCCGGTTCAATTTGACATAATACTAATAATATCATATCAATTATTACAACTTTGTTATCATATATATGTGCAATATACTATTGCAATATATAATTATATATCATGCAATATCATGAATCATAATTTTTTTTTCATAAAGCAATTAATTCATTGCTTAGATCAAGATCTCTGGAACAAATGGCGTATAGTTTGTTACGCCGCTATCATTATTGGATTTCAGAACCGCTAGATTTTCCTGTAGCCACCAAAGATCCGTGTCTGCCGTCTCCATGCGGCATGTACGCGGAATGCAGGAATATTGGTGGTACAGCATCGTGCTCCTGTTTGCCGATATACAGGGGATCACCGCCAAACTGTCGCCCCGAATGTCGCGTGAATTCCGAATGTCCGATGAATCTCGCTTGCAACAACGAGAAATGCAGGGATCCCTGTTTAGGCTCTTGCGGCATCACTTCTTTGTGTACAGTGTATAATCACGTATCCGTCTGCACTTGTCCCGAAGGATACACTGGTGATCCATTCAGTAATTGTTATCCCCGACCGATTACAAGTAAGAAGCTCCCTACATTTAAAATTGCAAAAGATTCGTCTCGGAAAAAATTCTCGCGAATTATAACGCACGTTTCTTAAAATCCCTTGCATATATAAATTTGATTCTGATGGATGTTAAAGATTAGGTGAAAGTTTAATTTAGTTTATTTGAATTTTATTATTATCTGGCTTTTGATTAAAAAAACTTCTCATTATTTATCAAAAATTCAAATATTTCTAACAAGGGAAATATTTTAAATATCCTTTATAGACATTATTTAGAAGTTTTTTTTCAGTTTTTTTAGACATTTTTATTTTGTTTCGATACATATCTGAATCAAACATGAATGTAATGTCGATTCAATGTCTGGAATTGTACGGAGAGAAATTAACGCGCTATATTTCGTGTGATTTCGTTTCGGGCTACCATGTTTTCCAAGCTCCAAATTCTTTTTTCTTTTATAGCACCACCGGTAATTATTGATCCTTGCGATTTGAATCCTTGCGGTCCGAATGCACGATGCAACAATGGAATTTGCACGTGTCTGCCCGAATACCAGGGTGATCCTTATGTAGGTTGCCGTCCCGAGTGTGTCACAAATACCGATTGCGCCCTCGATCGTGCATGCATTCGCAACAAATGCATGGATCCTTGTCCGGGCACGTGTGGTCAAAATGCATTATGTTCCGTGTACAATCACGTACCAATGTGTACTTGTCCGGCCGGAATGGCCGGCAATGCCTTTGTTCAATGTTCCACTCTCGCAGGTATAAATATTAAACAATTAACGACCAATTTATAATTTTTAAAATTTCTATTGAAAATATCTATCATTGATGATAATCGTATAGTCAAAATCCTTTGGAGATAACATTACTATCGTAAAGTAGAAATGTTTCTATCTCCGTTAGTGTTTAAACAATTTGCCAATCATGTTGCTGTTTTATTATTATCATAATTGCATTTTGCTTGCGTTACATCTTTGGGAACAAAGTGAAAAAGATTACCACCATGTCGAATATAGATATTCCGAAGGGAAATCCTTGCGCACCCTCGCCCTGCGGACCCAACAGTATTTGCCGAGAAAATAACGGGCAACCAGTGTGCTCGTGTATTGTCGGATTCCTTGGCGTACCGCCAACATGCAGACCGGAATGCACTGTCAGTTCCGAATGTCTCCTGACAGAAGCTTGCAGTAATCAAAAGTGCATAAATCCTTGCCTCGGTGCATGTGGAATCCGAGCTACGTGTCAAGTGATCAATCACAATCCTATCTGTAGTTGTGGAGAACTCAATGGAGATCCATTCATTCGATGCACTCCACGACGTAAGAGTCTAATCTTCTTGAAAGAATCACAAAATCTTAGTGGAAATATAATTGTTGATATCTTGAAAATCCCAACGCGAATAAATAATATATATATATTCTTTTTTAAATGTTTTGCTTATATTTCAAGTTTTATAATGCATTGTGTTTCTGCAACAAGTATATCGAAAACAAGATTGATTTTATTAGTTTATGAAATAATCCATTGGAATTTATATAAAAGAACATTTTTTATTTTAAACTTTTTGTTTCACATTTAATCTAATATTTGTACATTTAATCTTTATTCATACATTTTTCGATCGAAACCTTTGTAACATCATTTATTTAGCTTCAAGCTTTTGATAACAATAATTCTCCTTTTTCTATTAGCACCCGAACCTGTTGTACAAACAAACCCCTGTGTGCCATCTCCTTGTGGAGCGAATGCCGA